GGAGGCTGAGGCAGTAGGATTGCTTGAGCCCAGGAGTTTGAGGTTGCTGTGAGCTAGGCTGAAGCCACGGCACTCTAGCCCAAGCAACAGAGTGAGACTCTGTCTCAAAAAAGAAAAAAAAAAAAGAATACAAGTCTTGTATACTCTTACCTAGATGCACCAATTTTTGTTGAAATGTAATTCCCATAACATATAATTTACTCATTTAAAATATATATGCCAATAGTTTTTAATATAGTCAAGAGTATTTCAACCATCACCACGATCTAACTTCAGAACAATTTTGTCCCCACTAAAAGAAACCCTGTACCTGTTAGTGGCCAATCCCCATCCCTCTCTTCCCTCAACTCTCCTCTGCCTCCAGCCCCTGGCAACCACTAATCTATTTTGTGTCTGTAGATTTACCTGCACTAGACATTTCGTATGAATAGAATCATACAACATGTGGTCTTTTGTGCCTGGCTTCTTTCACTTAACATAATTTCATGGTCCATCCATGCTGTGGCATGTATCAGCACTTAATTCTTTTTATTATTAATTTATTTATTCATTTTTAGAGATAGGGTCTTGCTCAGTCACCCAGGCTGGAATGCAGTGGCCTGATCATAGCTCACTGCAACCTGGAACTGGGCTGTAATGGTCCTCCTGTCTCAGCCTCCCAAGCAGCTAGGACCACATGTCTGTGATACCACGCTTGGTTAATTTTTCTGATTTTTTTTAAGAGATGGGGTCTTACTGTGTTTCCCAGGCTGGACTCAAACTCCAACCCTTCCACCTCAGCCTACCAAAGTGCTGGAATTACAGGTGTGAGCAACCATGCGTGGCTGCTTCATTGCTCTTTATGGCCAAATATTAATAATATTCCATTGGATGGCTACACTGTATTTTGTGTATTCATTCATCAGTTGGTGGACATTTGGGCTGTTACCATTTCTTGGCTATTGTTAATAATGGCTAAGACCATTCACAGATGTAGCAATTTTTCACATTTTGCCACTTTTATTTTTACTCTCATCCTCTCTCTACCTAGACAGTATGTACTATAAATGGACTAGAGATCTAAAGATTTTAAAAAGCTTTCTTTTTCTGTTATTGACAACACATAGAAATTATTTATAAATTAGTAGGTTCTGTTCCCCTGCTGTAATTTTTCAATATCCAGAATGTCAGCTCAATTTACTCTGACATTCGAAGATGACAGCATGTCACTGCAGAAAGTGCACCGCCAAATGGCTTTGCAAACACTCTTCCTAAATGTCATTAACTTGCTGCTCTGCTGGCATTCCGCAAGGACAGGTATCGTGACCAGGCAGGAGGTGCGAAGCACTGCAGCAGGCTCACCTGTCTCCGGTCGGCCTGCAGGGGAGGCGGCGGGGGCCGAGCACAGTCCCGGTAGAGCATCCGCAGCCGTTCACACTGCACCTCCACGACCGTGAGTCGCTCTCCTGCAGACGAACACGGTGGCTCTGTGAAAACAACTCCTACGACCCCCAACAGGGTGCTGACTTCTTTGGAGCAGTGTCAAAACAATAAAATTCACTTATAGAGCTTACCCAAACCCTTACGAAAAAACAAATGCACTGAGACGTCTCTGTCTTCGACATGTAGCTCAGCTGCACAGCAATGTGGGAGAATGCCTGGATTCAGAACCTGGCTCCAGTACTGAGTATTTACCATCTCTTTCTAATACGGGGGAACAGTACCTATGTCTCACAGGTGGTTGTGAAAATGAGACAAAATAACTCAAGTAGAGCCCTTAGCCAAGTCCCTGGCACAGGCACTCAATAAATGGAGAGTTATTACTCTTATTGTCTAATAAATGAATGCTATTATTATCACCTAAATTGATTTTTAAAAATTGAATACCTACTGAACATCTATCATGAGCAAGGCACACTGCTAGATGTTGGAGAATACAAAGATGTATGAGCCAAAGCCCCTACTCTAGGAGGAAGATGAGATATGAACAAAC